CGTCTTCCACCAGATGCGAGCAACATCACGTCCCCCCTCCAGTTCAAGGGTGTGTTGCACGCGTATTGTCTTACTGTAGCGGGAACAGCAACCCCCTCCCCTGCCTTGAGTACTAGTAATCCTGATGAGTGATGTTCTGATACATGCCGAGGCTAGCTGTATGCTCAGTCTATACATTATTGATCTTATCATTTTTTTCCTTTTTCTTTTCTCTTTTTTCTTTTTAAATGTTTGCCACAAGTCGTCTTCTTATAAGGAGGCAGATATGCCTGTTTGTTGTACGACTTTAAATAAATCTACCCAACCTATATGTACGGGATACAATGTAAATACATGTACATTAAACATCTCCAAACACTCCCATCTTTTTTTCTCCAAAGAACTCAAACCCGGCTCGAGACCAAAATAAGAACAAGAAAGATAACAAAGTTGCATGCAGGGAGAACGAAGAAACGACTTGAACACAGAAGTTGTGGATTGACAGAACAAACAACTATGGAGTCGGGGCTAGGGTCCAGCGGATAATGCTCCGAAAATGTTCGTATAATGCTAACCATAATTAGGCCCCAGCGGCAGATGCTAGCTAAATGTTGCCAAGATGCTTTTTGGGATGCTAGCTGACAACTCAGAAAGATGCTAGTTTGGATGCTAGACAACACGAATTATGCTACCTATTAATGGTAATAAAAGGGTTTGCTCCCCACACCGGAGCTCGCGCTATTCCGCCGACTTTACTTGACACTTGACTGACTCACGACTGCCATCCAGAGCACACGAGAAGTCCATCGAACCTTCGACTCGGCAAACCTGCAAGAAAGCACCACTCCCTGCTCAATACACAGTGTTTCGGGGAATTCACCCCTCATCAGTTGAGCTTGAGTAGGCTGAGGAAGATTGTGCCTGAAGAGCACCACTTATATAGTGCTCTCCAGGCACGACCATCACCAGGGATACAAACTTACAGAGACGCTCCGTTTTCAGCGCGACAAACACCTCGTGAGCACCAGATAGCAGCGTGAGTCAGTGTCGCTCCTGGACGGTGAGACAGACGTCGAGGACCCTCGGTCATTCGCAACGCTGTCACCTCCAAATCATCGCCGAGGTCGCAACCACTACTTCGTACTATTAATGGTAATGGTGAAACATTTGGGTTGAAAACGGTGTTCCGTGCTATTTATGAATTCTCACAAAGCAGGTATGTAAAAAGAGTTTTTAAAGGTGCGATGTTGGCATCATGTTGCTATGGAAATATTTGCAATACAAAAGAGCAAATACCAAGAAGTACCAATGGCAATGTGGGTCTTGGTCACAACTAGGTAATGCAAACAAATTGAATGTAGTGCATGCAATTATCAATGTGGTAGTACCGTAATACTAGTTTCATAGTGTAATCTAGACCGAATTCCACATCCAGAATGCCAAAATTGGCAAAAATGTATCGGATGCCGGTAAAACTGCTGTTTATGCTAGCATCGTGTGGAGTCACAAAAAGGCCCTTTCATGCTACTTTGGGTGCTAGCATTTGCCGCTGGGGCCTAACCATAATGCTCCAAAAACTGCCTTATAATGCTGATTATAATGCTTCAGCAAGGGATATAATGCTCTTGGTTTGGGACGAAAATGGAAGAAAGTCTGCACATTGTCAAACTTCCAGGAAATGATGCATATCACCGATCTGCATCTGAAGTTTCCACCTTATCTCTCACGAGCTCCACCACTTCTTAGCACTATAAGACATGATCGCTTCTCCATTGATTGCTCTCCATTCCAACTTTGATGCAGGGTTGTGGCAGAATAGTCGGTGTATCAAATCTTTCCCCTAATTATCCATGTAGTGAGAGATGAAACCATTATTGCAGGTAGTCATTCATTGTTGGGATGAAGTTAATCTTGGCAAATAGTATTCCTGGCTGCAGACAAGCTGTCACTGCGTCCACTCTGGAATAATGTCTTCATCTGAAACACCAGACGTGAGGGCAGCTCCTGAGATCCGATCTCAGATGGAGAGCCCTCCCATTTGCGGAAATCCTGAAAATACGTGATCAGAAGTTATTTTGCCACTCTACATCCTTTGCTTGTGCTCTCATCTTCTCCTTGAGATGGTGTGTAGGCTTGCCACAATACTCTTCATTCCTGATAGCATTTGACTGGCCTGGCATTACAACCGTCCACAACTAACTATACGTGCTTCATCTGGAAAGTAAGACAAACGCTGCTGAGCAATCGACTTGGTACTAAGTCCATGAGAAATTCTAGTTCTTTTCGAGCCTCCTGAGCTGGACTCGGCAAAGGCAGTTCTTTTGGAACGAGCTCTTTCTGTTTATAGCCGCTCCTTCATCCTGGTCCAAACTTAGCAATGCATCAGTGTCTACTTCAGTATCGCTAGAGATGCTATCGCCAGAGCCTCTGGCACAACTAGAAAACTCTTCTTCGTCTGTTTGATATTCACTTCGCGTACGTCTCCTCCATAGCTCTCCTTTATTCTAAAAGTAAAAGAAAACTCGTAAATAATTTCTCCGGATTTGTGTCACTTGAACTGCCTCGGCCTGGGTTGGGCATGCTTCACAAATGGCTTGTATACATTTACCTGACCACATCGCCACAATCATAACGTTTTATGTAGCAATAGTTATGTAGCGTTAGTGCTAAAGGTGTTACGTGTCTACACAATCACAAAGTCATGCGCCGGTACAATGCATAGTGTTCAAATGCCCGGAATGGGCGGAGCGTAGTACGCAAAAGGTACACAAAAGGAGTAAAATAGGGCTGTTTAGTTGTTACTCACAGTTTCATGGCAAAAACCAATCATCAGACAACATCTCATGATCATGATTGTAGCCGATTGTTGCCAAAAACCTGGGATTTCCCGATATTCTCCACTATGAAACTCGTTATGCCGCTCAAACCTCACATAATGCTCGTTTTGTTCCTTTCTAATGCTCCATAATGCTCTGATGCTCGGATAGTCGTATAATGCCGAATATAATGCCGGCATTATCCGCTGGACCCTAGTCGGGCTGACTACATGATTGTACTATACTAGTAGGCACTTCAGTCACGTGACAGGACCTGTCAAAATTTGCTAAGGTGAGAGTGCGTACTTGCGTGGCACCAGTCAAGTGCATGCGCAAAACTGTACAGGTACGCGCTATGCTTCGTTGTACGGGCGCATCGTGTTGCTCTGACGTTCAGCTTTCAGTAGATCCCGCATACGTCATAGTGCGTACATTTTTGCGAGTTGTAGATCACGTACACTACCAGCAAAGAGTTTTTTCACAAAGAATTGTTGTTTGCTCGCGTTTGAAACGCTGCTTATCGTCTTCAGCGTCGTCTTTCCATTCGGAAACAGTAGAGTTCTTGTTTGCCAGGGCTTGCGCATCGCTGCGCAAGGAGACATTATGTACGTAGGCACTGAGAAGTATGCGCTTTAGGCGGAGGAGAACGACGATGCGTCGTCCTGCCTGGGCGAATTCTCAAAGCGTACTGAAAGCCAAGTTTTGACACGGTTGCGCTGAAAGGCCTACTGATGTTTGCGAACAATCAAAAGGCACAGTGGCTGCTGGAGAAACCCTCTGATGAGGGGATGCTTTGATATATGCAGCCAGGCACGCTTCACCAAAATTTCAAAGCTCACCAGCAGGCAATTCATGACTGCTGCATGGAGCAGTTGAAGGAGAGGGAGGCAGATATTACACCAGGGAAAGAAGCTACCAACAGAGGTCCTGAGGAACTTCTTGCCAACTTGGAAACACTTGAGATGGCATGACTGTGGGCACGAATGTCCTGTGCAGTAATTCGCGCGCGCACGCGCGCGTGTACTTACCCTCCACGTTACGGTGTACGGCGTACAACGAGGAAGTTCTCTGTTGTTTTTGTGCCAGAAGAATGTCTTTATAGCTCTTACGCCTTTAGTACCCGCAGGAGCCTGCCAGTATGTCGTTATCAGTTCATTTCACAGCAAACTGAAGCTGTTACTATGGGTTACTATGGCGTTGCTATGGGTTGCTATGGAGTTGCTATAGTGATTGCGGTCACAATTGCCGTATTCTTGCCTATTCTGAACTTTGATCTGTATTGTTTCGATCCATACAGGGTTGTTGGTGTAAGTGAGTGATGTGTGCTTGAAAAAAACACTCTGATGTTTTGTGACTATATCCACTGATGATACTTCGGAGATGCTGTTGGTGCCACAAATTGTATTGATTTCGCCTTATGCAACTGCCTATCTTCAACCCTTCATATCTGAGTGGTATCCCTGTGGATTTCAATAAAATTTTCTGTGTGACCTTGTGATACCCACCACCATCGATTACCGATGATAAACCTGGAAAAAACGCGATTTCAAAAAATGGGGCGAAGTGCCTAGTAGTAGTACTAGTATCCACTAGCGCAGCTGTGTAGGTGGGGCATCTCTGCATGGTGCTTGCATGTCAAAGGTCGCCGTCAACTGCTGAGTTCCTGAGTCCAGAACAATACATTCTCATGCTTTACTACAGCAGGTGGGTTGGCAGAAATTTCTGCTAAAACGTAAAAATTATACAAGTAGACTCTCTACCTAGTCCGGGCAGGGCATCACCCTCGCGGCGAACATGCGCTGTACATGTGTACGGTACAAACATAAGTATGCACGATTATACGGCAACATGATACACGGAGATTAGATAGAATGATAGAGACAGTATTATTCAGTAGGTCACACGCATGTATCTGTGAAGCATGATCAAACGTAGATACGCCGTCCTCTTCTCAGCACTTCTGTACTGACATGATAATGCTCGATCACCACCATGTTCTCATACATACTGTAGCTTGTTTGTATATAGATCCTGGGAATATTCGTCTTCTCAACTCATTACTGAACGCCCTTAGCTAGCATCATTGAATTTTTTTGTTTCAAAGCGGTAGCTAGAGTAGTGTCACTAGTGAGGGGATAGTGTTGTCTTGACACACCGCTACAGTCCATAACGAATAGTGACCGAGACGACTCTACTGCAGACACAATGTCACATTCTTGCGAGCTAACACTCGTCTCCGGAGAGGAGAATGAACCAGACCCGCACCCTTCGGAGAAACCCGATCGAGTCGTCATCCTGATGGGCCGTACAGGCAATGGAAAGTCAACGCTGGCCAACGTTATCGCCGGTCGACCACGAGGAGACCTCTTCCCAGAGTCCGCTAGAGTGCTATCGGAGACTGTTGGAACTCCTTCAAAGCGAGTCGCTGTGAGGTACGGCACATCTCCCCGTAAGCGATATGTCCTGAAAATCGTGGACACGATCGGGTTTGGCGATACGGGGAAGTCTGCCGCGGATGTGCTAAAACAGCTTGGAGATCTGGCATCTGATTGCCGTAGTGGAATTCATCAGCTGTTATTCGTAACTCGAGGCCGCTTTACAAAAGAAGAAGAGGACGTGTTCGATCTCGTTCGGACAGTCATATTCGAATCATCCATCATACACCACATCTGTGTTGTGCGCACAGGCTGTGACGACTTTGAGGACGAGGAGCAGAATGAGGCCATGCGACGCGAGCTTCGGACTGCACTGCCATTGCTGAAGTCAGTCAAGATCATTCCGGTCAATAATACCAAGGTCACCAGGCGCAACGAGCGTGGTGCCCTGGAGGAGAGAGCAATCTCCCGACAGCGACTGCTGACGCATTTGATAACACAATGCTCCTCTGCCTACGTGCCGAGTCGTGACGTTATTCGCGGCGTGCAAGGCAGAATTGAAGGCCACGTTCGTGAACAAAATCGACATGAACGAGAACTCCAGGAAACCAAGACAAAATTGCTGGAGTTCAAAAGTCAGGTGCAGCGTCAGAAGAATCAGCAGGATATCGACAAGCGGAACATGGATGCAGACATTGCCCGCATGCGCTCACAAGAGCAGTCAGCCATTGCCGAAGCGCAGAGGAGCACAAGACAATTGGAAAGTGCTCAACGAGATCTAGAACGAAACCAAGCCGACCTGCGATCAAAGGCAGAATCTATGACACGCGACACAAGTGTACAGGATCGTCTCCGGCGAAGGGTGCGAGACCTGAAGCAAGAGCTTGAAGAAATTAATGCTTGGCTCGCAATAAGTGAAGCAGCAGAATCAAAGATGCGGGACTATCTTCTGTCTTTGGAAGCGATTTTATCTGATGCGAACTCAGCAGTTACCCGTTTTAGCGCGCATGAATAGTGCCCTATCTCGGATAGTGCCCTAGACTCCAAGAGCCAGTGAAAAATAAAGCCCTCTCTTGAATAGTGCCCCCCCCCCCCCCCGGGTCTTGTAACCAAGCCCATGTGCAAGTTTGGTGTTCTTTTGCTTATATGTTCTTGGCCATTGCTTTGCACTGGTGTTTTGAGGAACAAATCGCAGGTCTTGTTCCCTTTCCTGTGGAGTCGTGAGCGTTTACAGTACTTTTTAGGCTCTGTTTTTCTTTGTTTTATGCTGGATGACGCAAATGTACCAGCAATGAAAAAATAGTGCCCTCTATTGAATAGTGCCCTCTCTTGAATACTGCCCCTTCTGTGATGGACATTGAAAAAATAGTGCCCCAGGGGCACTAATCGCGCGAGTACGGTAGTAGCTTCTAACGTCTAGCCTTGCCCTTGTTCCTCTGTGTACTACGCCTTGCCGCCGTGGTAATGAACAATCTCAGCACATCGGGAGCATCCTCCGCTGATTTCTATATTCTTCTCCGCCACCACACCAACACCAGGATGCCGACTCCTTCAACGATAACAAAAACTGTTCCACCACCCAACACAATCATGAGCAGACCAAGACGATCAACAGCTAACCGACTCAGAACACGTAATGTTTTGTTGTCTGGGTGTGCCCAGGTTTGCCCAATGCTGTTGTACTCCGCTTAGTTCGTAGCTGGTCAGATTCGCACGTTGTTTCGGCACTGATTGCTGGTCCCCACGTGTCCAATTGTTTCCGCTTTCCCTTCTCGCTCTCAGGGTTAGAAATCACACTTGCATAATCATCATGTCGCTATGGACTGTTGTGGTGTTCCCTCGGATGCGCAAAACTCGGTCTAACCGAGTCTATGCGAACCGTGATGTGTTTGTCAATAATCACTGCTGGTATTTCTTTTCCTATGGTTTCTATATGAGTCCTTTTTGCATGCTTTGTCCACCAGTGCAGAGACTACTCCTGAGCAGTGCTGTATGAAATGAAATGTTTTTTGAATCCTTCTCCGTTGCTTCCTATTCACTTTTGTTGTTTCCATCGAAGCTATGCTCCTGTGTGAAATGCTTACTGCGCTACTCGCAGTCATAGCGCCATGACATTGATGTTCTTATAAAATACGTACGTGTGCTTTAGGTCGCATGCTTACATTCCGACCAGCTCGACCTGTCCCTGTAAGGACTGTTTGTTGCCCTTATTCTTGTTGACTGCTTGTTACGCTTATGACCCATCATGTTTAGACGGCGTAGTAAGTGCAGTAGTACGCATAATATTCACAAGTGGATCTGAATTCGTGCCCAGGAAAGTTTCTGCTCTTGCTGAAACTCTCTGCCCGTTCAGGCATTGGACTATGACTGAGCTAAGGGAGGGTTTCAGGAACACGCTAGAGGCACCAGTAGGGGTGTGTGTGTGTGTGTGTGTGTGTGTGTGTGTGTGTGTGTGTGTGTGTGTGTGTGTGTGTGTGTGTGTGTTGATGCATGCATGTGCGTTGTGCGTGCGTTTGTGTGTGCGTGTGTGTGTGTTTGTACGTTCGCGAAACCACAAGATTGATCTACCATTACTCGCTTCGAAATGGGTTCGTGGGCGCGCTGATGGGGAATAAGTTGTAAAACATCTTGTTTCTACAATTTTAAACCCTGATGGTGAGCCAATTTATCTACGGTTAATAAGGAGAAGGACAAAATGTTACGAGTTATGACTAACTGTCCACCAACGTAACCAGATCTTATACAGTCAGCGAATGCGACACAATGACACAAGACTTACACGAAGTACCGAGACATTCAACGACCTGATACCAACACTTCTCCGAGGCGCAGACGTGTTGGAGCCAGGTATCAGGTCGCTGAATATCTCAGTACTCGTTGTCAGTTTTGTGCCATTTTGTCGCACTCGCTGACTGTATAATAATTACGATCTGGTTACGTTGGTGCAACATTTTTTCCTGATCCTTTTTTACAATATTGCGTAGTCTTATCAAGCGATCGACATGATTGCCAGATTTGTGGGCTTGTAGGCTGCTTGTCCAAATGGTCCATTAATAATTATGGTTCTGAGCTCAGTGTTCTGCTGTACTTCGAAGTACTCAGTTAAGACTGCAAACACGACCACCATCGAGTGAACCATCTGCCACCGTACCGACGACATACATGTAAATATACATGTACGTGACAATTTCGGCTCAGACCTACAAAGCCCAACTTGAATGTCATATTTACGAGTTCACGACTTCGTCTGTTGGCAGAATGTGGTTTGAGCCTGTAGTGAATGCTCCAGACGCCCTCGACCTTACAAGGAAAAAGGTAATTACCTATTAAATAGAGGCTATTTTGGTTTTGACAAGTGACGGATTCCAGGGAATGATAACCATCGCTATGGCTCCTTGTCGTCTGCGTCTGAGCGCTCCATGTGATCTTGAAATTTGAAGAATGCTCTGTGGTACGGTATGACTGGTGTCTGTCAAACTCAAAAGTCATATCCAGTTGCTGATTGGTTGAGTTGAGATTGGCTCATTTATAGTCATTATTCTGCTCAGCAAGAGCAGGCGGGTCAGCAGAAACACCTGCTCACGAAAAAGATGGCGAAGGGTAATACTCGCGTGGACAATGGAAAACTCATCGCGATGACGCCAGGAAAGGAAGGAATGCCCCAAGCATTTGTCAAAGAGAATGGATAGCAATTTGTGGCATGCCACGAACATGGAACATGTTGTGTAGCGTGACTCCGCAGCAAAGGGACCTTGTCAACGCCAATTAGGCATTGTGCGCATAATTGGTTCCGGAATCATTGCAATCCAATGGGCTGGCTGGCTGGCCTGGGCTGCATGTACATGTAATCATTGCTGCGTGTAGTTATGAGCATTCGATGCATGTTGTTCGATCTGCTCAATGCGTGCCTTTCGCAAACCAGTCTTGTCATAATAGTACTTGGCCTCCATTGCAAACTCATGGGCCTCGACTGGGTCGAAGATGACCATGTTGGCACTCCATTGGGCTGGAGAGTCTGAAAGCAGAGGAACGTCAACAATGGAGCAGATCGATAAAGTTTGACTTCTTCACATATTAAAAAAGGAGAAAGACAAAATGTTACGAGTTATGACTAACTGTCCACCAAAGTAACCAGATCATATACAGTTACGTCATTACAGATCATATACAGTTACGTCATTACAGATCATATACAGTTACGTCATTTTATATTTTATCATCCACTAGTTGAGGGAATGGAAAAGGGAAAGGTCTGAAGAAAACATTGACTTCCACCACCAAGACTCGAACCAGGGATCTTCGCTTGAAGCCAGCGGTGCTCTAACCACTGAGCTATGGTGTAGCTGCCATCCCAGCAAAGACCGTTAAACATTCTCTTCAGACTTCCTTTTATCCTGCAAGCATCATTTTTCAACAATATGCTGCATCACTGTACTAGCTGTACCATGACCCAGACTGATAAAACTGACACGACTACACCATTACATCGAAGGTCCATTTATAACAACAATGCAACACAGCCAGTATTGGGTATGTTGTGTAGGTCATGGACCAATGGTAGATTTACCCTCCAATCATGTACTAGTAGCGGTATATGCACTCCGGCTATTAGCTACTCCACCAGTTCGATCAAGATTCCTCAGCTGTGTCGGTCAATCCAAAACCTTTCTCCATGAGTCCGGGGTTCTCTCCTCGCCGTCAGCCCTGCCAAAACACTGTGTAAGGTGTCTTTTGCATGGCATCTGAGCGAATCCAAAGACCTTTCCTATGTGTCTCGTGTTGGGTTTGGACACGACCCTCACACACCTATTTTCCTCCCAAATGCCTCGCTTCACTAACGGCAATTCACGGTTTTCCCGAACACCAGGCAACTCTCGGACACGGGAATAAAATTAGGTCACATTGTCCACTTACCACAAACCTCTGGTCTCTGGGCAGCTACGGCCACCACCACAGCGAGAACAGCCAGCCAGCGAATCATGATTGCGAACTTCAGTCGTTGCTTCCGACCAAACACCACTAAAGGACTGATCGTTTTCTTGCCTTCTTCCGTGCCTTCAACCCCAAATCTTCGGTGGGTGGATGTGCTTTGGCTGCTCGTCCGCTAGCTTACCTAACCGGCAGCTACGTTGATCTACTGGACCCAGCAACTGGGCAATCCGCTTCTCGATATCGCATGCACATCACATGATTTTCAGACGCTGACACTTGACGGGGACATTCACGTGACATGATGCTGCACTCTATCGATCACCTGTCCGTGGTCCGTGTTAGAGCTACTGGCACTGCCTGGAACAACATGAACACCTGTGAGCTAGCACTGAAAATTTGAAGTGAATCCGTTATGGCTGAAGGAAGATATGGCAGCTAGTTTTGCGACGGGTGGCGTATTGACGGGCGAATTTGGAGGTGACGGCGATCAGCTGATAGCCTGCTGTCAGGTGCTGAGAGCTTCTCTGATTCTGAGAGCGTTTCTGAGTCAGGTAGTAGTCGAGAGCGTCTTCCACTACGCCGAAAACGACGTGCCGATCAGCGTTTTGTTTGCTGCTGGCTTCAGCACGGTACAAAAAGACATAGGGAACAAATGAGATGGATCTTTCGGATGCAGGCGAACGTGGTGACAGCAGTGATGATGATAACACCAATGAAGGGGAACATTCCTGAGGATGCTGAGTTGTACTGAATGTATACGCCGAACCGACTTCAGAGCTCTGAAGCACACAGCGCAGGAGCTGAAGAAACAATAGCGTCGTGCACCACAGGGGAACGTATGCAGGGACTTAATAGCCCAGAACAACTAGCTAGCTGTTCCCCAATGCATTGGATGTAAGTGGCAGACCTGCATCGTGCACTGTCTGGAAATGAGTGTTTTAAGAATTGAGATACACAGAATGGTCAAGGCTGGTGAACATGAGCTGAGTGGAAAGAAGTCAAATCGGGCCTCGGATTGCGGACTGATGTACAGTTTCTCAAGTCTGTGGACTCGTCCTGCTTCGCTAATGGGCACCGTATTGG